CCCCACCACACACCTCGAAACTCAGGTAGGATCACGCACCCACCGATCAGCACACAAGTCGGATCGGCCCGCCCCCCAACTCAGCACCTGAGTCGGCTCTACTCCCACCACACTCCGCTCACAGATCAGCTCGCCCCACCCCCCACTCAGCAAAACAGGTCGGGTCGGCTCCCCCCGACCTCACCTCGGCACCCAGGTTGGCTCCCCCGCCCCCACCTCGGCACCCAGGTCGGCCCCCCCGGTCTATTTGGTCCTCTTTCCTCAGCGACAGGGGCTTTGGCTCAATCGTGGCCGACAACAATGGAGTCTTCCCTCCCCACGGGGCAGGAGGCTGGGGCTTGCTCTGCTCCCTGAATGCCCTCTCCCCTCCGCCAGCCTCCCAGCTGGAGGTAGGAGATGGGCAGGACCGAACTGGCAGGAGAAGAGAAGTGGGTGGCACTTGCTCTGTCACACATCACACCCTGAGAGGGGATCGTGCCACCAGGAGAAGAAAGCCGCAGCCCCCAGGGCCGCTGCAGCTGGTGGACAGAGGCCCACGGCCTCAGGGTATCTCGGCCGCGGGACCCACCACCGTGAACGAGGCCAGCCTGGCGTCTCCCCACTGCTGTGGCAGGGGCGTGGCACGCGTCTGACTTCGGTTCTTTGCTGGTGCTAGTTTTTAAACACATGAATGGTGGTGACCGCACAGCCCACCTTCTAGCTGAAGGTTGAGGCATCACCAACAGAAAGCACCCCGTTGCTACGCTGTTTCCCTGCAGCTCATTAATCTGCTAACACTCAGGAAGACCCCTCCTCCCTGGGAGAAGTCCTGGGCCTGGCTTCGCACCACAGCCTCATACCACGATCCAAGACGCCCTGCGTCAGGGTGCCCTGGGCTCCGGGCGTGCTGGGTGTTGGTTGACAGTGTCCAGGCCTCGGCAGTTAGGCAGCACTCACCCAACAAGCAGAGAAATCCTGCCTTGGGCACAGGGTTCACGCCAGAGTCCACACGGCCGCTCCTCCTGTCTGGGCCGGGGTCTGCCCCGTGGGCCTCGGAGGCCTCCTCCCGCGGACACGGTGAAGGCGGCCAGGTGCCCACCGAGTGCCTGGCACACAAGCACTCACAGCTGCACTCTCCCAAGCCTCCTTCCCCACTACTGATTTTAGATCCTCAGGCTGAGAGGCACTAATGCAGTCAACACAGTGGCACAGCCTGGGCAAGACAGCAGGCCCAGGCCATGCAGGGGAGGAGGAGGGGCGGCCCCAGCGCCCGATCACCTGCGTCCCGAGCACACGTGCTCTTCCCTGGAAATCGCGAGGTCATATCGAGGATCCCAGTTGCCCCACAAAAGCCCTCCAAGGCCCCAGCCCACCTCGGACTACAGTGCTGGTGTCGGGGGCTGGGTTCCCGCAGCGGGGAGGAGATGCTGGGGAGCACTGAGCGCCGAGTTCCCATCTCTGCCTCCGCCCCCCTGAGAGGCCCCTCCTCACTGCTCTGCGCCCCTCCCGGTGACCTGCACTCACAGCCGCCCGTCATGTGAACTTCAGCCCTCGCCGGGCTGCCACCTCCTCGGGCTTCAAAGGTTAACGGCTTCTGCTCCTGCCCGGGTGACCTCCACTGCACACCAGGAGGGAAGCAACCTCCCTAAGTCAGGACGCGAGGATGCCAGGTGACCTTGAACCTGCCCAGGGACGTCTAGCTCTTTAACAACGACACAGAGCCCCGGTGCTGTGCGAGGGCGATGCAATGGACGGCACAGGACGGCACAGGCGCGGGGAGCTGCCCCGAGACGGCTGTGGCACTTCTTCCCCCCTCATTTTGAAAACCGGCGATGTCTACGGGCATCACACCAGCTGAGCGCTTCCCGGTAGTGAACGCGGGTCTGTGCTCGGCTGCTGGCTGAGGCACGGACGGCACAGGGCGAGTCCCGGCGTGGGCAGTTGTGCCCCAAGTGGGACATGAGCCCGGACGTTCAAGGTGCAACCTGCTACGTCCTCCAAGCAGCTGCCTCGGAAGTGAGAGGATGCGGCAGCTCAGAGCCCGGGGCGGAACCCAGCCACGGGGGCGCTGAGACCTCCGGAGCGGAGCTGGGGCAGACAGCCTCAGGGCAGTGGGAGAGGGGCTATAGCTCTCAGCAAGGGTCTCTCCACAGAGCAGCCAAGTGGGCAAGGGAACGCCGTGAGAGCAAGACGGGCCACGCAGCACTCGCGTGTCTCCAGGCCACGCCAGCTGCCCGGGGCACTCGCGTGTCTGTCTCCAGGCCACGCCAGCTGCCCGGGGCACTCGCGTGTCTGTCTCCAGGCCACGCCAGCTGCCCGGGGCACTCGCGTGTCTGTCTCCAGTCCACGCCAGCTGCCCGGGGACTCCCACCATCTCAGGTTTAAAACCAGCGGCCTCTGCCTGGCAGCAGCGCCAGGAGCGGCGGGGCCTGGGCTGGGGCCGGGAAGGGAAGGGAAACCGGCCTCACCTCCAGCAATTAGTGGTGATTACAGCGACTTAAGACATCCCTCCAGCAGCCCCTCCCTCTAGCACACACACACTGCAGGCCTCAGAACGAAACCGCCATCACCCCACCTCCCACCCACAGTGACACATCCCACAGAGCAACACCCACCCGACGCGGGCCTCGCGGCCGCGGACACCTGCCTGTCAGCCCAGACCGCTCCCCAGCCAAGGAGAGCCGGCCACCAGGGCCTCTTCACTCTTCCACGGGGATAAACGGCGGGCCTGCGTCAGAACAGGAAGGCAGGGCACGCTCCTGCACCGGCTCCGCCACACTCCCAGCGCCTCTCCCGCCTGCCCGGCGGGGCACCGGCCAGCCCTTCCTGCAGGTGCTCCTAGGGCCAGGCAAGTACGTGATGCACAGAGTCTACCTGCCCCCGGCCCACCCTGGATGCAGCAGCCTGCCGGGTGCCCTGCAGACTGGCGGACCCGACTGCCGCCGCCCTGCACCTCAGAGACACCGCTGTGCCCTGGGCACAAGGAGCGCAGTAGCCAAGCAAGCGCAACACCAGCCGCGCAGCTGCCGGGAACCCGGCCGCGCTGCCCTGCACAGACCTCGGGCAGGCAGCTTTGCAAAAGGAGCCCCGGCGTTCAGCACTAACGCGGCCCTTCCCTCACTGATGAACTCAATACAGGAAAGAGGAGGAAGGAGGCGACGGCACTCTGCACCGTGACGCCGGGAAACAGAGCTCCTAACACCACACCAGAGCTGAGGGCCCATCTATCTCAGCGGGCAGAAATCACATGTACTTTTCAGTTTCTTGTTTAGAAATATACTGCAGCCCTAGGCACTAACGACTCTCATTCCACGTGTGCAAACCGCCTTGTGGATGGGAGGCAATTTTCTGATCACGAACGCCCAGGACCGGGCAGGGCTGCGCCGAGCAGCGGCACCGGCATGGCACCAGCACGGCACGGCTGCGCTGGCTGGGACCGCACAGCCTTGCTCCGAGAGCCTCCCGCAGCTCGGCAGGCGCTGCTCCGCTGACCCTGACACCACCCACGACGAGAGAGGCGCAGCCACTCCCCCTGCAAACCAGGAAAGGGAGCCCAGGGCGCCAGGGACAGGACGGGGTCAGCCAGTGAGCCCTGGCCAGCGCGCAGCCATCCCGACGCTCCACACGCGGGACTCTGCCTGAAGGAGTCAACAGAACTGCCTCCTCCGGGGGGGGGGGGGGGGGGGGACGGGTCCAGGGCGCCTGGGAGCAGAAACCAGAACCCATCAGTTCGGGCCGGCGCTGGGGTGCAGTAGGTTAAGTCTCCCACAGGGCGCCGGTTTGTGTCCCGGCTGCTCCTCTTCCGATCCAGCTCTCTGCTATGGCCTGGGAAGGCAGTAGAAGATGCCCAAGTGCTTGGGCCCTGCACCCGCGTGGGAGACCTGGAAGAAGCTCCTGGCTCCTGGCTTCGGATTGGCCCAGCTCTGGCGGTTGTGGCCGCTTGGGGAGGGAACCAGCGGATGGAGGACCTCTCTGTCCCTCTAACTCGGCCTCTCAGCGTCAGGCCAGCACATCTCCTGCTCTCCGTCGGCGGGAAGTGCAGCAGCCCGGCCCGGCGAACCCACCTTGGCCTCGTCGTTGATGTCCCAGGTGAAGGAGATGGCGTTGTACGCGATCTCCTCTATGTTGCTGATGGTGTTGAAGCTTTCTTTGTAGTCAGCTAAGCCAAGAGACGGAAAAAAGAGAAATCACGGTTCTCAGCTTCAGCCTGAGACCACAGCTCACCGCTCGCGCAGGGTTGGAAGCTCAAAGTCTAAGGAAATCACTGAGTTTAACAGAGACAAACTCTGCTACATTTAAACCTCACTGGGTCAACACTGGGAAACGTGAGGTCTAAATAATAACAGTCCCCAGGGCGCAGACCAGTCCCACAGACCCGAACCAGAGCTCTGCTGTCTCCCGACTCTGCCAGAGGACGTGCGCCATCCCACCGGAACAGCCGTTGGCGGTGGTGTCGAGCGTCTGGCACAGTCACACTACAGGTGACGCACACCCCGCGAGCAGAGGCCTGTGGGAACCCTTCACGCCCAGGGAGGCCCGGGACAGGCGCAGCACGCTCCCGCAGGTGCCGGCACCTGCCTGGCAACGGCGCTTTCTTCTGCCGCCTGCTTTTCCCTCTGCCTTCCCACCACCTCCACACCCAATCAGAGCTCTTAGGGAAGTCGCTACCCCCTCAAACACCTCGGTAGTCTCAAAGTGGGCGCCGCTCTGCCAGCTGCCAGGCAGAGCCGCCGCCCGGGCCCAGGTCCTTGTGAGGGGAGCAGTGGAGAGCGCGGCTTCCAGGAGGCCCAGGCGGCGTCTGGCAGGGCTCCGGAGCTGGCAGAGGGACTCAGACGCTCTCGGCAGGAAGCTGCCCTCTGCCAAAGACAACTGGACCATCAAACCGGACGCTGGCACCATGGGAACGGAGCTGCCCTCGCGCCATACCTATGTCAATGCACCTCTGTTTTGCCGTGTGCTGCCGGGAGTGCCAGTACTTCCAGTGCCGCAGCTGGTCGTCCCTGCTCTTGTCCTCAGCGAACACCACCATGATCACGCTCTGTGGACGAGAAGGAATCAGCACCACACGCGGTGGCGGGCGAGCCTCCGGGAGAACTCCCTCCGCGCCCGGTTTTCCAGCTCCGGCTGCACGGTGCAGCCACACACCCTCCTCCGCCCGGCTGCAGCCCCGACCCGCTTCCCCGGAGGATGGAAGGAGGGCGGAACTCACGCGGACTTTGCTGATGGGGTGGTGGATGCCTTCGCTGCTGCTCACCTCCTTCAAGGTGATGGGATAGAACTGGCCTTTGTTCAGGTAGGTCATCGTGCTGTCCCCCGGCTTCTGTCGCAGAGACTTGGACGCCTCCAGGGTATACTCGAAGTTGTTCCTGAGACAGAGCACGGCTCTCAGCCTCAGCCCCAGCCTGGCCGCGCGGCGAGGGAGACGGCCGGCGAGCACCCGCTGACCACAGCACCTGCTCCCTTGCTCACCGCACACGAGACCTTCCACAAAAGCACCCAGCAGCCAGAAATCTTCCCATCTCGCACCTCTGGGACTAAACATGCCTGCTGGGAAGCCTACAATGTGATGTCCACAAGGAGACCCCTGGAAGACCTGCCGAGTGCAGCCTGCCGGGAAACCACACCGGCACGCCGCCAGCCGGGCCTGTATCCAGCGGGGGCTGTGAGCAGCTGGCTGGCAGGCCTCTGACTCGGGTGGTCTGTTTCCACTTACAAACGCCTCTCGGGGGCCCGCATGATTCTCCACCTGTCCCGACCTCACGCGCCCTAGGCCACTGCAGAACCGTCCCAGCCAGAGGTCAGCAAACCACACCTACTTGTGTGTGTAGAGCTGTGTGAGAACACGGCCACGCCACACATGCGCGTGTCACGCGTGTCACCTGTGGCTGCTTCTGCACCACAGGCGCAGGGCTGGGCAAACATTCTCTGACCTTTTCCAGGAAGACTGAGCCAACTCCCACCCAAATCCTAGGGCGTCCAAGTCTATGACTCCCACACCTTGCGGCAGGCCTGTAAGGGAGTTCACTCAAGTCCATAAAACCCTAGACTTCAAACAAAAAAACCACAACTTTTTCACTGTAAAATACAACACATAAAACAGGATTACAGAGTGAAAGCCTGGACGCCCTTTTAGAAGATGTGAGGGGCTTCTATGTTCCTTATTAATGAGGACAATATGCCTGTCCCCAGAGCTGCCAACACTACGACGAGGTTAAAACAGAAGCTGCAGGTCAGAAAAGCAGCCGACTTCACGTGCGCTGGCTTTGATGAAGCCCATCAAACCCCAAACCACGGGCCTCGGGTCGATGGTGCCGCAGCGGGTTAAGCCACTGCCTGCACCCCAAGCGCGCGGCTTCCAGTCCCAGCTGCTCCGCTTCCCATCCGGCTCCCTGCTAATGCACCCAGGAAAGCAGTGGAGGACGGCCCAGGTGCTCGGGCCCCTGCACCCACGTGGGAGACCTGGAGGAAGCTCCTGGCGTTGGCCCGGCCCAGCCCTGGGCAGACCACTGTGGCCATTTGGGAGTGAATCTGTCTCCCCCCACCTCTGTAAATCTCCCCTTCAAATAAATACATAAATAAATAAATGAATGAATGAATCTTTTGAAAAATCAAATAAAAGCCTCCCCGTACTTGCTCGTCCCCTGAGCCCTCACTGACTATTGGCTTTCGGGAGCAGAAGGAGCTCAGGGTTCGAGCCCTCGTTTGTCCCCATTTACCGCCACCACGCAGGCAACCCGAGAGAAAGCACCAACACCAGGAACCAGGGGAAACCGAGGCGCAGTCCCAAGAGCCCGAGACTCGGCGCGCTGAAGCCAGGGCCTCCACCAGCGAGAGGGAGCAGAGCCGCGGGAGCCGCCGCAGACGCACCCACAGCCGCGCCAGCGAGAAAGGCCCCAGGGCCGGAGGTAAAGATCAAACTGAAGGGCGACTGTTACCCAGCGACACTGTCAAACACATAGTCGTCTGAGGTCATGCCGGGCATCCGCAGGCTGAGGTCCGAGGGGAAGAACACCTGCAACACCAGGCCACACCGCTTAGCCGGCCCCGACACCGGGCTCGGCCCCGGCGTCCGGGTGCGGCTCCGCAGGACGCCGCCCAGACAGCCCAGAACACGGAGGACAAGATACCACTTTCACATGACACTGGATTCGAGGGAGACCGTCTCCGTGGCTCCCCCAAGACACCCAGGATCCAGGGCCCCCCGTCTGCCTTTCCCACAAACCCCAGGGCTGTGAGCAAACGTGCCGGCTTCCAGGAGCCGCCGCGGCGCAGGGCCGAGCTAGGACGCGGGTGGTGGGGGTGCCCCGCGGCCGGCCGGTTTTTTACTGCTCCCCTAGCTCCACAGCTCCACAGAGGCCACGCCAGCTGCCCCCCCCCCCCCCCGGCGCGTCACAGAAGGGTTTCCGGCCCCTTGGGTCTAACCGTGACCTACGTGTGCAGCTCATCGTCCTAACGCCCTCAGAACTGTCTCAAGCTACCATGGACACTTCGCACACAGCACTCGGGACCTGTGTCCCCTGACCACTGAGCCACCACGCGAGACGTCACTTCCCAGGAAGCCCCCGCGGGGAGCTGGGCACGAGCAAGGGGCAGAGCGCGCGGGCCCTCTCCCCGCAGCGGCCCCAGCGCGGAAATCATGATCGCTAACTCAGCTGCTAGAAACGTGAGCCACGGCCCCTGATAACAATTCCTGGCTTTATAGGGTCAGTTTACAAATTACAACCGTGGGCCTTTTCTCTTAAAAAAATAAAAAACATCTTTTCTTCCTAATCCGCTCCTCTGAGGCGGGTTTCAGGCTCACATAACCGGGGCGGGCTCGGCCGCATACCTCCTGCACGCCCTCCTTGAAGGTCTCGGAGAAGGTGGAGTCCGGGGTGCGCCGCTGGGCGTTCGGCGGCTGAGCGGCGGCGGCCGAGCCGAACTGGTCGGAGCTCAGGCTGCGGTCAAACACCACCACGCGCTCGGCGGGCTCGGGGTGGTACACGGCCGGCGGGACGCCCACGGCAAAACCGTGGGGCTGGATCTCCGTCTTGATGGGGTGGCTGGGCATGGTCGCTATGGAGACGGTGACGGTGGTGTCGGGCGTCGGCAGGTGGCTCCTCTTGTCGCCGCCCAGCTGGCTGCCATGGGGGAGGACGATGTTGAAGGGCACATTCTTCAGCACCTGCACCCGGCTCTCCCCCGCGGGGACGAGGGGCTGCTCGGCCACGCTCGGCACGCTGCTCCTTTAAGAAGACAAGACAACACTGTCCCCACTCCCAGACGACAAGGGCTCTTGGACAAGCTTGCTTTTCCTTCTGGCCCTGGGCGGTGGGTTCCGTGCAGTAACCAGGCCTCGGGCCTCGGGTCAAGGCCAGACCCACAGGACACGTGGCTGCAGCAGGGCCGACGCCGCCCCCCCGGCCACGCAGACCCCAAAGCACTGTAGACAGCTCCACTGCAGAGGCTGCGGGCCCACAGCTCCCCAAGCAGCTAAGTGGTCAGTAGTCCTCACAGAGCGCTCGGCTACAGAGGGAACCAGGTCAGCGGGGTGCAGTGCAGGCCTGGGAGCCGGCCACCCCGGCCACGCTGCTCTCGGAGCGACTCAGGGCGGGACGCACAGCCTCGTCCCCCCCGCGAAGGCGCCAACAGGCACAGATCAAGGGCGGGCACACCAGTGCTCAGTGCCAGCTCTTACCATTCAGTCACCTAAGCCTTTAGCTTTCTCTCTCCTCCCTTTTTTTATTTTTTTATTTTTTTTATTTTTTGACAGGCAGAGTGGACAGTGAGAGAGAGAGACAGAGAGAAAGGTCTTCCTTTGCTGTTGGTTCACCCTCCAATGGTCGCCGCGGCCGGCGCGCTGCAGCCGGCGCACCGCGCTGATCCAATGGCAGGAGCCAGGTGCTTCTCCTGGTCTCCCATGGGGTGTGCTTTTCCTGGTCTCCCATGGGGTGCAGGGCCCAAGCACCTGGGCCATCCTCCACTGCACTCCCTGACCACAGCAGAGAGCTGGCCTGGAAGAGGGGCAACCGGGACAGAATCTGGCGCCCCGACTGGGACTAGAACCCGGTGTGCCAGCGCCGCTAGGCGGAGGATTAGCCTAGTGAGCTGTGGCGCCGGCCTCTCTCTCCTCCCTTTTTAAAATGTGTTAAGTTAAATCACATATTTTTTTACATTAAGCATTCTTCCTGGAGGCACAGAGAGAAAGGGGGGGAGAGAGACAGAGTTCCCATCTGCTGGTTCACTTCCCAAGGTGGGGAGCCAGGGGCCCAGCCCAGGTCTCCCATGTGGGCGGCAGGGGCCGAGCACCTGAGCCATCAGCTGCTGCCTCTAAGGCCGTGGGTCAGCAGGGAGCTGGAATCAGGTCAGGGCTGGGACGTGGGCATCCCAGGCAGCGTATTAACTGCTGCACCAGACGCACAGTCCTCCCGCCAGCGTGGCTTTCTCCATTATCACCCCGTACCAGCACACGCACAAGATCAATTTCATTTAATAAGTATCCTGAGCAACATACAGTGATTGCTAGCGGGGAAGATGAATGAATTTTCAAAGCCCCCTGAAGTCACAGAGGCAGAAAACTTGAAGAAAAAAAGCAAACTGGGGGCCGGCGCTGTGGCGCAGTGGGCTAATCCTCCCCGTGCAGCACCGGCATCTCATATGGGCGGCGGTTCGAGTCCCGGCTGCTCCACTTCCGATCCAGCTCTCTGCTGTGGCCTGGGAAAGCAGTGGAAGATGGCCCAAGTGCTTGGGCCCCTGCACCCACGTGGGAGACCCAGGAGAGGCTTCTGGCTCCTGGCTGCGGCCATTTTGGGGGTGAACCAACGGACAGAAGACCTCTCTCCTCTCTCTGTCTCTCCCTCTCACTGTCTGTAACTCTACCTCTCAAATAAATAAATAAAATATTTTAAAAATAGAAAAAAAGCAAACAGCAGCACAGGGAGGTCCTGGGAATCAAACCAAGTAGAGCCAAGTGCACGGACAAGCCCCGTGTGAACATACGCCGCCCTGGCCACGCGGGCCACGGGGGCCGCGCGCACCCACGGCAGTCAGCCGGTCCTCAGGGGAGGGCTGCGCGGCCCCAGGCTGTCTTTCCGCAGGCTTCGCGCCATCCGTCACAGCAAACTGGGAAACCTCAAGGGTCACTTTAAGGAAGCCTCCCAAGGCTTCACACCTTAATTTTCTGTCTCTCAAATCCGTCGACAGACGGGGACCACAGTGTGGTTCATTAGGCCTTGCGCAGGCAGTTACCCGGCACCCGTTTCTCTTCCAGGGACGCCCGTCCCACGGCAGCGGCCTCCTTGGAGACCTCGGACACGAACACAGCCTCCGTGGGAGCCACCATTCCAGCGTCCCTTCAGGGAGCAGGCAAGCGCGGCCTGCAGGAGCCCACGACACTCAGAGTGTCAGGAGCACCGCAGGAGAGCGGGGCGATGGGAAACAAGACCTGGGTTCAGAGGAGTCGGGCTCCCGGCCTCCCCCACACCCACCCGGGGCAGCCCCATGGCCCGCGGCGTCTGTCGGCCTCACCTCTTGCTGGGATCCGGCTCCGCGTGCTCGGCCTCCGGCTTCGCGGCAGAAGACCTCCTCTCTCTGGGAACCTGAATGTCAACGCAGACCAAAAGGACTCAGCCCCTCGCCAGGGAGCTCAGTTCACCAAACACACGGCCTTCCCTGTTCTCCCTCAGGACACGCGGCGCCCGGCTCCGGGCCACACCAAGAACGAGACGGTGCCTGCCCCCAGGGGGCTCGCCGCGTGCTCACCAGCTTGATAGGTAGAAAGCAACCAACTCTGGCCAGCACCGCAGCTCACTAGGCTAATCCTCCACCTGCGGCACCGGCACATCGGGTTCTAGTCCCGGTTGGGGCGCCAGATTCTGTCCCGGTTGCTCCTCTTCCGGTCCAGCTCTCTGCTGTGGCCCGGGAAGGCAGTGGAGGATGGCCCAGGTCCTTGGGCCCTGCACCCCATGGGAGACCAGAAGGAAGCACCTGGCTCCTGGCTTTGGATCAGTGCAGCGCCAGCTGTAGCGGCCATGTGGGGAGTGAACCAAGGGAAGGAAGACCTTTCTCTGTCTCTCTCTCACTGTCTAAACTCTGCCTGTCAAAAAAAAAAAAAAAAAAAAGGCAAGTAAGCAACCAATTCAACCTGTCATTGCTGGAGTTGGATTTCATCTCTTAAAAAGCAATACCTCTGGGGCTGGCGCTGCGGCCGTGGCGGTTAGCCCACCACCTGTAGCGGCAGCATCCCATAGGTCCACTTCCAATCCAGCTCTCCCCTGATGCGCCTGGGAAAGCAGCAGGGAATGGCCCAAACGCTTGGGCCCCTGCACCCATGTGGGAGACCTGAAAAGGCTCCTGGCTCCTGGCTGCGGCCTGCCCAGCCCCGGCCGTTGTGTCCGCGGGGGGAATGACCCAGCGGAGGGAAGTGCTCTCTATTTCTAACTCTGCCTTCCAAATAAACAAATCTTAAAAAGAGAGACAGAGACACCTCTCACTTGGTGTCACCTACTTGTCTCCACGATTTTTTTCCCCCAAAGAAAACATCATCTAACGTTTGTCAATATTTAAATGAAATGAGGTTCAGAATTGAAAGCCTGGGGGCTTATTTATCCTAAAGAGATGAAGGAAACAGCATTTGGGATGGCCGAAGACACGGGAGGCCCTCGCTGACCATAGCGATCGGATAAAAAAAAAAGTCAGTTTCCCTAAAACACAGGAGAGTGACATGTTCCAGTCTGAAGGGGCGGGGTCCGCGTAACCCCGTGTGGACCCGTAAGAGAATCGGCTTTGAAACGAGTCCAGGAAGTCAAAGCTTCAGAGAAGGGGGCTGCGGGAGGAGGGGCGCGAGCGGCCAGCACCAGCTCCCCTCTCCTGCAGCTCCTGCCCGCCTGAGAACCCCGCCCGCCCCCAGCTCCCAGTCCCTGTGTTCTAAGGTGGCTACGGTGGGCTCCCTCCCATCAAAGCTCAGGGGTCGGGGGACGCTGAGCCCTGAGCCAACAGCCACGCTCAGAAGACACTGCCTGGGGCGGGCAGCGGACTCTGCCCATCTGCCTTCCCCAGGCAGGACCCGACGCTGCTGACACATCGACAGCCCGTCTCCTCCCAGAGCCAGAGCTGGCGTGGGATATACAACGCCTGCATGTCCTGGGGCTCACAGGACGGGGGTGACCCAGGCAGCTCTGTTCCCGTCTGGACTCTTCATTTCCTTGCCAAGGAGGCACACGTCACTCCAGCATCACTCAGACTTTCAGAAAGGTCTCCAAGGTGAGACTTCGACTCTACATTCCTGAGCCAGCCCTGGAGCTGGGAGAATGCATGTTGTCCGCCGCCGCGCGGAGAAGCACGCCAAGGTGAGCACAGACGCGGGGCGGGGCCACGGCCCCGGCCCACCTGCAGGGTCCGAGCAAATGTGACACCGGGGCTGGTGGGAGTGTCAGTGACAGACAGCCAGGGTCACCAGGACGGCGGCCGTGCTGTCGCCTCCAGCTCGTGAAAACCGCATCGCCTTGCAGGCAACAGGGGCTGTTTCGTGCGGACTAATCCAAGCCAAATCCCTAGAGACAGCAAACCACAGGCCGAGGGCAGAGAACCTCAACCGGAAGACGCGGTGCCCAGGGCTCTGAGTCCCACCGAGGAGAGGAACGCGGGCCGCTCGGGGACACAGGTGAGCAGGTGAGCGCACAGGCAGACGGCCCCCGCAGCGTCCGACCCAGAGCCCATGGCGCCGCCTCACGCCTGTAACGCAGGCCTTTGATTCCTGGGACCGAGGCTTTCGGCTTTGAGCCTCGGCCAGGCAAGGTGCTCGTTAAGCTATTTATAGTCACTACAGAGGCGGCCGCACTGCGTTCTAGAGCGAGCCACTGCTTCCCGGGAGCTGAATGAACGCCTCCCAGACCGTGGACGCGGGAGAACCCACGCGCAGCTGCCGCACCCCACCCTCAGCAGCCACAGCGGCCCTACTCCACCCCCACAGTGGCCGTACCCCACCCGCATCAGCTGTACCCCACCCGCAGCACCCGTACCCCACCCCGGAGCACTCCGCAGCACCCACACCCCACCCCGCAGTGGCCGTACCCCACCCCGCAGTGGCCGTACCCCACCCTGCAGTGACCGTACCCCACCCCGCGGCGGCCATACCCCACCCCGCAGTGGCCGTACCCCACCCTGCAGTGACCGTACCCCACCCCGCAGTGGCCATACCCCACCCCGCAGTGGCCGTACCCCACCCCGCAGTGACCGTACCCCACCCCGCAGTGGCCGTACCCCACCCTGCAGTGGCCGTACCCCACCCCGCAGTGGCCGTACCCCACCCCACGGCGGCTGCACCACACCCCGGTGGCCGTACCCCACCCGCAGCACCCGTACCCCACCCCGGAGCACTCCGCAGCACCCACACCCCGGTGGCCGCGCCCACCTTGTAGTAGTCGTAGAGCAGCCCGAGTGCCGCGGCGCTGTCCTCGTCCCCATTGATGCTCATCATGGCTTTGGTGGCCGCAGTGAGGGGGTTTTCCAGGAAGGACTTCCAGGCTTCGTCCTCGCTGGTGTAGGGCCGCCGCTGGGGATAGAGGGCTTCATTCTGAAGAACTAACACTGGTCGTTTGCTTCAAAGAAATAAAAACAAAAAAAAACTTACCGTCGTTTTCTACTGTGAGGCATCACAAGCTAATGAGCTAATTTTAACAACAAGATTAACTCCCCAGACGGCCACGACGGCCGGGGCTGGGCCAGGCTGCGGCCAGGAGCCAGGAGCCTCCTCCAGGTCTCCCACGTGGGTGCAGGGCCCAAGCACTTGGGCCATCCTCTGCTGCTTTCCCAGGCCACAGCAGGGAGCTGGATCGGAGTGGAGCAGCCGGGACTCAGACTGGCGCCCTACGGGATGCTGGCGCTGCAGGTGGCAGCTTAACCTGTTGTGCCGCAACGCCCACAACGGAGTGTAAAGAACCCAACCAGGAATCCCTTTACATTCCCATAAAAGGTGTCCCCAGTGCTGGGGCACTTCAAAGGAGGGCACCCCACTTAAATGCAGACCCGTGGCGTGGGTCCTCCAGCGAGAGCGGACGTATTCAGGCCCAGGGGCAGCTGGAGTTAACCTACACAGGGATCCCAGGATATGCTCTTTGGCCAAAGAGAGAGAGAAAGAGAAAAAAAACACCCCAAGAAAATGCCAGGCTATTCAAACACTCAGCATAAACAAACACGAGGACAAAGGCAGGCAAACCAGAAGGTTCCTCCTCTTGGAACCCACATCCAGCACCCTGCACCCCATCTTACTCCCCTGTGTCTCGCTGACGCTGGCACTGGCAGCAGAAATTGCCCTACTACTGCCGGAGGGGGGCAGGCAGCAAAGGGACGGGGGAATGGAGAAAGCCGGAGAGTCGCAGGTCGCCAGCAGGCTGAGCGTGGAATGTGGCCAGGGGACTGTAAATCAATAAAGAGGCATAATTTTCTGGCCTGGGCGTTAACTGTTTATCTTAAAGATAAACACTGAAAAAAATCTTCAACAATAAGTGAAACCACTGGACAAAAAAAGATTTAAAAATATTTTTTAAAATATTTAAATATTTAAAAAATAATAAGTGGGGGGAAATCTGGTTTTTAAAATCTTTACTGCTTAGTATCTGCAGTGCTTCGTCTTAACGCCGAGTCGGTGGGAAAAACTCAGACACTGAGACTTCACTCAAGATTCAGGCACACGCAGGGGATCCCAAAACCTGATGAGTAACCGCCCAGCGGGGCTGCTCGCAAGTCCACCCGGAGAAAAGGGAAACACTCTAGCGACTTGAAGCCAGATGTCTGCAACAACGCGAGTCCTTGCTATTGTAGCAGGCAATGTAAGCTCAGTTGGCATTGCGACACACAAATGAAATATGTAAATGGCCCGGAGGCGACCTACCTACTCTCAGCCGAATGGGGAAAGATCGATTATCTTTTCCAGTGATCAACAAAGCTTAGGGGTTGGCAGTCACCCAGGCCCTTTAAAAACACCCCGATTTCTTAAAAGGAGAGCATCTCTGGGACAGGGGGGGCGCAGAACCCAACCACTCCGTCGGCACAGTTTAAACGCACGGTTCCCTCCTGCCAGGGCGCACAGTCCCGGGAGCCCACGCTTTAACACGGCACAGACACAAAGGCTGCTCGGGGCGCGCAGGGCGCCCGCAAAGTGCGGAAGACGGCTCACACAGGTCTCCGCCTTTAGGACGGCAAGGCCGGGCACGGCGTGGTCCCTGAGCCCCGGGGAGACCCTCTGTCCCCACTCAGCCCCGGGCGCGCAGGCCCCCTCCCTCTCCCACCCCCACCCCCACCCCCAGTTCCCGCGAACAACAGAAAATAAATATTTCCCAAATGGCTTTAAGTGTGTGATCACCCTGAAGGTGTTTCGTATTTCCACAGCGTGCCTCGGGCCAGAATGTCCGCTTTGGAAATTCGGCCTTATCTCAGCTGTTAGTCAAGACGCAAACGCGCAGCCGGCGGCCCCCCTGGGGCTCCGAGGGGCTCTGCCCTGCGCGGCCGCACGACCTGCGCCCAGGTGGGCCAGCGCGCACTCCCCTCCGGCGCCGGGCCCGTCTCCCCACCGGGGACACCTGCCCCGCTCCGAACCGCGCCGGCTGCCCGCACAGCCGCCTTTTACTTCCCGGGGGGAGCCCTGTAGGAACAGCCGGGCACGCCCCGGCCGGGCTCCCCGACACCTGTCAGCGCCGCCGCGGCCCCGCAGGCGCGACCCCCGCACCTGGCTGCCCCGTGCTGTGCACGCCGAGCGCACCCCCGCACCCGCACCCGCGCGGCCAGCCGGGCGCCGGGCGCTCCGACCTGCCCCCAGCCCCGGCCGGAGGTCCGGGCCGGCCGCGCCGCGTTACCTGGGCCGCGGTGGCAGCGTCCGGCGGGCGCGCGCGGGGTCTGCGGCCCGGGCCGGCCGGCTCCCCGGGCCAGGGGTGTCCGCGGCGGGCTCCGAGCGAACAAAGCCGCGGGAAGGGCCGAGGGCCCGCGAGGAGTGCGGGGACCGCCCGGCCCGGGCCCCGCAGCCGCGGCCCTGGCCGGGCCCCGCGGCGCCCGCTCCTCACTCACTTGTCGTAGTCCTGTGTCATCGCGCTCGCTCGCCGCTGCGGGCCGCAGAACTGGACTTTCGGGTTGGGACAGTACACCCGATCCGGGGGGAGGCGGCGGGTCCGGAGCGGCGGCCCCGACGGGTTGGGTTCGCTTTTCTCGCTCTGAGCCGGCTCCGCGCGGGCTGCGCGCACTGGGCGCCGGGCTCGGCGGCTCATTGGCTGGCGGCGCGCCGGCTCGGGGCGGGGCCTCGGGGGCCGCAGGCCGGCTGCGCCGTGCGATTGGCCGCCGCGCGGGGCGGCGGGGCGGGGCCGACGGGCGGGCGGCGGGGCGGGGCCTGCGCGCTCCGCGTGGCGCGGCCGCTGCTGCCCCCGCTGCCCGCCGCCGGCGCCCCCGCTGCCCGCCCCCGCGCCCCCAGCTGCCTGCCACTGCCGGCGTCCCACGTCCCCCCCCCTCGCTGCTGCCCCCGTGTCTCCGCCACCGGCGCCCCCGCTGCTCGCCCCCGCCGCCCGCCCCCGCGCCCCTGGCTCGGGCGGCCCGCGGCGCCGCTGCGTTCCGTTTGCGGTTAGGGACCGCCGCGGACAGGTCCTGCGGTAGGTTGGGGAGTGGCGCGGTCCGCGCAGGACTCAAAACAGGTGGGAGATGGGGTACGGAGCGGGGCTGGGGGGTCCGGGAACCTGGGAGCGGTCTGGGGCGACAGGTGTGCCCCCGGGGGGCGCGGGGCCGCGAGGACCGCAGCCTTGGCCCCGAGGCGGGAAGCTGGGGCCATGGCCGAGCGCACGCGGGGTTTGGAGGCTGCCGGGAAGCCGGCGACGGCGGGCGGAATGGACCCGGGGTCGGCTGCGGACGCAGAGCCGACGGGGTGTCCTGGGAACGGGCTGCGGGCTGCGGCAGAGCCGGAGGCCCCCCGGGAACAGCGGGTGTAGACAGCGCGGGGAGCCCCGTGTGGACGGTCCCACTGCACACACATCAGGTGCACCTACTTCCAGCAGCGCTGTGGCCCCGGGTTCCACAGCCGCCGGGGACAGGGGACAGCGCCGGCTCCCCCTGCGAGTCCGGCTGTGCTGAGTGCTTGGGCTCCTGCACCCACCGGGAGACCAGGATGGAGCTCCGTGCTCCTGGCTTCAGCCCTGCCCAGCCCTGCCTGTTGCAGCCATTTGGGGAGTGAACCAGTGGGTGGAAGACTCTCTGTCTCTCTCTCTTTCTTTTCTTCTTTCTCCTTCCTTCTCGTTCTATACTTCTGCCTTCCAAATAATTTTTTTTGAAAAAAGAATACAGGCTCATTTTAAAAAATCTTTCTGTATTTGTTTCAGAGACAGACCCAGAGTTCCCCTCTGCCGTTTCATTCCCCAAGTGTCTGCAATGACTGGAACTGGGCTGAGGTCAAAGCCAGAAACCAGGGGTTCATCCGGGCCCCCATATGGGTGGCAGGAACCCAAGCACTTGAGCCATGGCTGCTCCTCCCAGAGTCAGGGAGCCAGGGCCAGCTACTGGGTGGGCACTGCGGTGTGGCCCACAGCAGTCTTCCCCAGCATCGTGACCCCCGGCCAAATGCCACGCCCATCGGTGGTGGCCTTGGGAGCCTTGGCGAGGGCCTCCTCTGTGGGGCCAGGCTCCATCCGATGTGCTGGGACAGAGGGGACCAGTGGGGAATGCAAGCGTGGAGGTTGAGGCAGCGGCAGGCCGCTGGCCATGCGCTCCCGCAGCCCCTCATTTTGTCCAGGGCCAGTGGACGCTGAGCCCCCAGGGACTGAGACCGGCGGCCCGTTTCGTACTGCCCTGTCCTGCTCCGGTCTCCGAGCCCTGACTCCCGTGTCTGCTGTTTAAACAAATGATGTTTTAAAAGTGAGCTCATTTGAGAGAGTTAAGTAAAAGTGTGGGTGGTGCATAGACTCAGCGCAGATCCTTAGAGCTGCCGAGGGAGGTGACGGCGTGGGCCCCTGGCCCCGGCTCCTTGCCCCGGCCACGGCTGCGACCTTCCCGCCGCCCGCACCTCACTCCTTTCCTCTCGCATCCCAGGCGCCTCACGCAGCCTCCTCTTCCCGATCCTGCGCGCTCCCACCAGGCTCGCTCCTGACACAGCCCCCGCTCCAGGCCCCTGCAGGAGCCGGCCTGGCCTGGGCTGGTGCCACGCGCCACAGGTTGTGTGCCCGTCCCTGGGTGTCTGTCCCCCACGGCATGCACTTTCCCAGCGAGAGCAGGGATCGTGCCGTGTGTGTGGTTTGGTGTCCCCGGGGCCACAGCCCCGCTGCTCTGCTGGCCGCCCTGTGTTTCGCTGCTGGGGCTGACCTCCATGGCCGCCCCGGAGGGCCTTTTTTTTTTTTTTTTTTTTTTTTTTTTTTTTTTGACAGGCAGAGTGGACAGTGAGAGAGAGAGACAGAGAGAGAAAGGTCTTCCTTTGCCGTTGGTTCACCCTCCAATGGCCGCCGCTGCAGCCGGCGCACCGCGCTGATCCTGGCAGGAGCCAGGAGCCAGGTGCTTTTCCTGGTCTCCCATGGGGTGCAGGGCCCAAGCACCTGGGCCATCCTCCACTGCACTCCCTGGCCATAGCAGAGAGCTGGCCTGGAAGAGGGGCAACCGGGACAGAATCCGGCGCCCCAACCGGGACTAGAACCCGGTGTGCCGGCGCCGCAAGGTGGAGGATTAGCCTATTGAGCCACGGCGCCGGCCTCGGAGGGCCTTTTTTAAAAAAGGAAAATCTGGTCACTGAATTCTTGGCAGTGCCTTCTGTTTTGTTATTACTATTGTTAAACAAATCTATGCTCATGGTTGTTTTTTTGTTTGTTTGTTTTGTTTTGTTTTGTTTTGACAGAATGGACAGTGAGAGAGAGGGAGAAAGGTCTTCCTTCCGTTGGTTCACCCTCCAGTGGCCGCTGCGGCCGGCACGAAGCCAGGAGCCAGGTGCTTCCTCCTGGTCTCCCATGCAGGTGCAGGGCCCAAGCACTTGGGCCATCCTCCACTGCACTCCCGGGCCACAGCAGAGAGCTGGACTGGAAGAGGGGCAACCGGGACAGAATCTGGCCCCCCAACCCTGTGTGCCGGCGCCACAGGTGGAGGATTAGCCGAGTGAGCCGCGGCGCTGGCTTTTTTTTTTTTTTTTTTTTTTTTTTTTTTTTTAAAGCAGAAAAGGGATAAGGAAAGAAAGGAAGAAAGACAGTTAAGCCAAAGGGAAGGGACCAGGGCGCAGACGCCTTCCGCGCCCGCAGACAAGAACGCTGAACCGAGGCGTCTCCTCACACAGGTGCACGGTCCTCCACGGATGGCTCATTTTCTCTTACACATCTCTTCTTTAAAGAAGGGGGGAGGGCTGTATTTTATTTCTTGGGATGCACAATAACCCTTTCTATCTCAATGGATTGTTTTTTAAAAATTAAATGAGGGTCCCAGGCCACTGCTGTGGCGTAGTGGTCTAAGCATTGCGCCTGCAGTGCCGGCATCCCATATGGGCTCCAGTTTGAGTCCCGGCTGTTCCACTTCTGATTCAGCTCCTTGCCATGGCCTGGGATAGCAGTAGAAGATGGCCCAAGTCCTTGGGCCCCTGCACCTGCATGGGAGACCCGGAAGAAGCTCCTGGTCCCTGGCTTCAGATCGGCTCAGCTCCAGCCACTGTGGCCATTTAGGAGTGAACGAGCAGATGGAAGACCTTTGTCTCTGTCTCTCCCTCTCTAACTCTACCTCTCGAATAAATAAAGTCTTACATTTAAAAAAAGTGAGAAGCCAGCACTGTGGTGAGACTGGTTAAGCCACCACTTGAGATACCAACATTCCAGGTTGGAGCTCCTGGTTCAAGTCCCAGCTGCTCTGCTTCTGATCTGCCTCCCTGCTAACGTGCCTGGGAAGGCAGGTGATGGCCCAGGTACTTGGGCCCTGCCATCCACCTGGGAGCCCCGGATGGAATGCCTGGCTTCAGCTTGGCCCTGTCCTGGCCGTTGCAGCCATTTGTGGGGGAACCAGCAGGTGGATGATCTCCCTCCCCCTCTCCCTGGGCTTGGGTAGTTGGTCGTCCTGAGCGCTGAGCCGGGCTCCCTGATCAGCCACCGCGAGTGTCCGTCCTGTGCACTGGGCCTGTCTGCCTCATCCCTCAGTCTTTCACACGTACAAATATTCCAGCGACACGTCCTGCAAACTAAGCAGCACTCTGTCACACTGGATCGGGTATCAGAACTTCTAGAAGGGGGCAGGACATGGAATGGTCAGTTTGGGCGGGTGTTAGTACAGCAGTTAAGGCAGCACTGGGTTCAGGTCCTGCCTCTGCTTCCCATCCAGCTTCCTGCACACCTGGGAGGCAGCAGCTGACAGCGCACGTCCCTGGGTCCCTGCCACCCGTGGGGAACCTGGGATTGAGTTCCAGGCTCCTGGTTTCAGCCTGTCCATCCTGACTGTGAAGGGAGTGAAGCAGCAGGTGGAAGATTTCTTTGACTCTTTATCACTCTGCCTTTGAAAGAAAGTGGAAAAAGAAAAAAAACAGTTTAAAAGATAAAATTTAGGGACTGGCACTGTGGCATAGCAGGTAAGACTGCCACATTCAGCTCCACCATCCCATATGGGCTCTGGTTCAAATCCCAGCTGCTCCACTTCCAATCCGCCCCTATGCTATGGCCTGGGAAAACAGTAGAAAATGGCCCAGGTCGTTGGGCCCCTGCACCTGTGTGGAAGACCCAGAAGAAGCTCCTGGCTCCGGCTCTGTGCAGCTCCTGCCATTGCAGCCACCTGGGGAGTGAACCAGCACAGCGGATGGAAGACACCTCTCTCTGCCTCTCTAACTCTGCCTTTCAAATAAATAAATCTAAAAAAATTTAAAAATTTTGGAATCCGTGTGTAGTTTCTTCATAATATGCATTTTTCACAAACTCCATGCATATGCTTTGTATATAGAATTTCAAAATTGTTTTGCACCAAAACAAGCTTACCTTTTCATTCCATTTTTCCAAAGATTCTTTGAAATGCCCTCGTGTAACCATCGGGTAAATCCCTGCAGATGGAGTTGGGGGAAAAGGGGTGTGTGGCCGCAGCTC